GTTTATATAATCGTTAATGACCAACTTTTGGTCACTTATTTGGTTGATGTAATGACCAACTTTTGGTCACTTCTTTGGTTGACGTAATGACCAACTTTTGGTCACTTCTTTGGTTGACGTACTGACCAACTTTTGGTGACTTTAAATAATGTTTATATCTGAATCGTTAGGAATAACACTTGTTTAAAGTTTATGACCTTTATTATGACGATAAAATGGTTCACTTATAAACACACAAAATGGTACACAGTAACTTGGTTGGTACAACATTATTTGGTTAACAAAAAGGTGACCAACCGATGGTCAATCCAGGACGTTCCTAATAACTTGGTTCCCCTTAATGGTTTCGTATACATAGACTTGGTACCGTCTTATAACCGAAGTATACGGAGTCATTCCCCAAAGTGACTTAGGTCACGTTTCCCTTACCAGGGAAGGCTGTGTGCTCCGAGTCGCTCCCCACAGCCGACTGAAGTCTAAACCCAAAACAGCTGGTTTATATAGACAAAAGTTGTTATGATGACGTAAGAGACAATCAGATACCTATTACGTCACAATCAATACAATCAATAAGTTAGCGGATTTTAACCATCAAAGTTACCTACTAAATTAATAACGTTGTACCCATATAAAACATACAAAATACACCACATTAATTTCACTCTCTATATAAGTGGCCTGTCCTGCATGAAGGAAACAAACAACCAGTTTGGGCAAAAAACCATGATTTATTATATACATATATATATGAAGCAGCAAATGACAATAAAGTAAAACAAGATGACATAATCATGGTTTTCTCCATATGTAGTACAATTAAAAAATAAGCTGGAGAAAGTAAGGCAACATGGTTGGTCTCCTCAACTCGAGGAGATTCAGACTAAACTACAAATAAACAAGTATATAATAATACAAACACACTTCCACACGCACACACACACACAAAAAAAAACAACAACAAAAAAAAAAAAAAATTAAATTGTTACGACTGGCGTGGCCTCTAGGTTTGAAATATTTTTTTGAAACTGACGCTATTTACAGATGGTTTGAATAGTTATTAATGAGACTAGGATTCTGATTGGTCGATTACATTGTTATTTTTTGAAATTTAGAATAGAGCAAATCTGATTGGTTAAAAATGACGTAAGTAGGGGGCGCTCTCAGAAAAATAGAGGGTGCTCTCAATAGCCCCCTAGGGGGATCCCCATTAGGCTTAGAGGGTCTTAATTAGATGGGCAATTAAAATCTGCAATCTGATTGGTTAAAAACAATACAAACAACAAATGTAATGGCTCCCACGCAAATCCAAAATGGCCACGATCGTAAATTAATAACAATTAAATAACACATTTAATATTACATTAATTTCACTCTCTATATAAGTGGCCTGTCCTGCATGAAGGAAACAAACAACCAGTTTGGGCAAACAACTATGATTTATTATATATATATATATATATATATGAAGCAGCACCACTTTGTCATTAAATCATACATGTTAAATTAATAAAGTCATTAAATCAATTATTGTTCATTTCTTTCGTTAACTGTTCATTGACAATTATTTACGGAGTTTATAAACATCGGGTTCAAGTTCCATATATTCCAAACTTGTAAACAAGAGTTAACCCGAATTTCACAGGTACACTTCGTGAAACGTAACAGTAGATTGGTACTAAAAGCTGGACTTCCTGATATCTTCGTCAAATTTGAAAATATGATATATACAAGTAAAATGTAAATGTCGTACAAGAGACATACTGTAAGGAATACTGCTCAACCACATTTATTTTTGTTTGAGAGTTGAAGGGGAGGGGGGAGGGTTGAAGGGGGCATTTTAAGAAGGGTGGGATGGGCAATATAGGGAGTTATGGTATAAAATTAAATTGCAAAAACAAAAGCTTCTTGAGATATTGATCACCCTGAGGTGAAAGTGTTAAAACAAACAGAATTTTTTTCATTTATGACCTTGACCTGTAACCTTTTGACCTCAAAATCAAAAGATCGTCCCAAGGCCATGCTTCTTGAGATATCATATGGAAATGAAAGCATTACAGACAGACAGAACTACCAATGGACAGACAGACTGAAATTAATATCCACTTTCAATTGAGGGACAAAAATAATTGTAGATCACTGTATTTTTGCGACACCTTATTTTTGCCAGACGGTCATTGACTCTTTATTAGCGAGTCAAATTTTTCATGAAATGTGATTATTGCTCTATATTATCTTAAGGAATAATAAAATATATGCGAGAACAAAATTTTTGCAAGCAATTGCTGTCTCTCTTAATTTCGTGAAAATAAATTTTTTCACAAATAAGAAGTGATTTACAGTATGTGAGTACTATTTTCACATTTAATTCACTATGTCCCTTCCGATTTAGCATTGATCCACTTAAATTTAGACTAGAACTACTTTTCAGTGATGTAATCGGTAAACAGCAAGATGACACGTGAAGAAGATTTGCACACATGAGAAAATTGTTTAATTGTAATTGATCTTTGTGGGTCTGTTAATGTTATTGGTCCTTCACAAATTTACAAAACAGTCATTAGATTTGTTACTTACTATCCACAACAACACTGCAGGTTGTTCAGGTCCATGGAAGACTATGCAACAATAAAATTTAAATAGACCTAATAAGTAATATTTTCAGAAAAATCCTGCCAAGAGTATCACAGAAATTGACTTTGTGGGCAAATAACACAGAAATTGGCAATGATGTCATTTGCATTCTGTTTTCATCTAAGACGAGTTGCGATTTTGTTATAACTTCTATGATAGGAGAAGAGTAATTTGGAGAGCAGAGGAGGGGGGGAGGGTATGCCTATTGTTTCATATCTGAGGATGACAGATTAAATGGAACTTTGGTAATGATTTGGGCAGGCATTAGTGTTGACTGCAAAACTGATCTGCAGATTATTGAAGGTTACCTGACAGGGCAATTGCAGGTACTCTTGGGGAGGATATCTTAATGGCCAATAATGCTTGACCTCATAGATTCCAAATTGTAAATGGAAACAATTCAGAGTATGGACTGGCAAAGTTGTTCTCCAGACCTGGACCCAATTAAAAAAGCATGAGACATTTTTAAAAACACATTTCAGCTCATCAAGAACACTTCCCCAAAACCAATGGGAGCTTTAAACAGCATTGCAGGAGGATTGGCAACAGATCTATCAGGTTAGCCTTGCACTGCTGATATCCATGCCCTCAAATCAGAGATGTATCGAATGTGCTTTATTGCATCATAAGCTCAAACCATAGAGCTACAGTCTCATCAGAGACTTCTGGTTTAAACTACAAAGAATGATATTGTCACGGTTATGAGATTGTCTTCCTCAGTTTTTGATGGTGATTTCAGTGAAACTTGTGAAAACTTCCATCAGGATACATAATTCTGTTTCTGTGAAAACATGTATATTTCTAACTGCAAGATTTCTACAGTGAAAAATCTTCTCAATTACTTACAGTAATTAGGTACATATTTTTGAAATTGGGTATGATTTTTCATTGGAAAATATATTTGAAAACCCATAGAGAAACAAGAGGTGTTTTTGAAACACTGATTTCCCTATATGACAGCTTTTGATGAAGGTTAAAGTTTTTTAAATGCAAGTCAAATTTCTAGGTCAAGAGATGATAAATGTTGTTAACCATAAGAAAAACCTAAGAAATATAAAAGCCCAAGCACAAACCATTCAAAAATTATGGCTAAGGTACTCTTTTAAATTTGGGTCAAACTCAAAGGTCAAGGTTAGAGTCAAATGAAAGGGACCTAGGGAAAGGACTTATCATTACAAATACTTATGTGAATTATAAATATAATTAATGCCCTAGCAGGCTAGCACCAAATGTTTTAAAGTTAAAGCCATGTTAAAATTTTGCTAAAGAAGCTCAAACTCCAAGGTCAAAAGGCCAATTTGATGGTTATCGAAAGATGGTCTTGTCACAAAGAATATACCTGTGAAATATGAATGCCCTAGTTCTAAATGTTCACAAGTTATGTTCAAGTTTTTGTAAAAGTAGGTCAAATGCTAAGGTCAAGGTCAAAAGGTAAAAAGTATGTATACCTAGAAAAGTTATTGTCATAATGAATACACATGTGAAGAATGAAAGCCCTAGAACTAACTGTTTTATTGTTATGGACAAGGATAGAGTTTAGTAATTATTTTGCAAAAAAGGGTCAAACTCTAAGATCAAGGTCAAGAGGCCAAATATGTTGGTACCCTAATAAAGAAAGAAAGATCTTGTCACAGGGAAAACACCTGTGAAATAAGTAGGCTTAACTCCAACCAATTAAGTTATGTAATGTTAAAGTTTTTGCAGACAAACAAACAGACAGACAAACTCACAGGGCAAAAAACTATATACCCCCAAATCTTTATTACAGGGGCATAACAGTGAATGATTTCTTTGGGGCTTTACCATAGGTTGACAGGTCTTCAAAAAGAAATAAAATAGTAAATTTTAGGACCATTCCTGTATCATTCTTGAAAAAAAAAATTGAACACATGGTATTAAAATCTCTGAAAGTTCTGTTAAAAGTTCAACATTAAGAATGTGGGAAAGATTTTGGTTTTTATAATGATCAGTCCCGTCCCTTGATTGTCTGTCTCAGGTGTGTGAATGTAATGTGAAACTATAGGCAATTTAGGAAGGGTGAAATGTTGGATGGCACATTTTGTTCAGACTAACAATGCCATGTGACAATTAATTACTGACAACTATCAGTGACATGTGATGTAGATTATAATTGAGCCAGAGCAATTTCCCACCATTAATACATTGCATGGCAATCAAATATTGAAGGTGTTTATAGCTTATTATCTCAGATCCTGTATAACTAGATTGGTCAAGTAATTGTGTTCATTGTTTGTTAGCTAGAGCTGTGCGACACTCCAGCACTAGGCTTAGGTAAGGGAGATACACCCCGACTTTACCTGGCACCTTTTTCTAGAGGTTGGTTGTTAATTGATTGCTTCCATTAATAGGTCAATTGGCTTGTGATCCTGGCCATGTCGCATAAGGAGTCTGTCACTGGAAGACGTAAGATGTGAATTCTCAAGGAGTTTCCAAGAAAGGACTGTAAATGTACGTATAGGTAAGACTTTTATCTACCAGCTGATCTGAGTTGCTATAAATAGAGCATTTCAACATGTGGACTTCAGTATCGATGAAAGTATAGTTTAAAAGAAAAATGTTATTTAAAAAAGTTAATACAGTTTGTATCAGTATTTTAATATTTCCTCAGGTGTTGTGAAGGATCATTAAATTGGGTTACATGTTGGTTACTTTCTCTTTCTTTAGTTTTTTTTTCAAAATTACCTTTTCAGGTAAAATTATTTTGGGGGGTTTGATTTTTCGCCTGATTTGGAGATGGGATCGTCTGCTGGAGCTCCGATCATGAGACACGGTTGACACCTTTGGGTCCGAGACTGACCAAACCTGTGCCACACAATAGCTGTATCTGATAAGCCTCTTTGTTTCTCTCTGTTTGACTAGTAAATTTGACTGGGGGGCTTTCATCAGGATTAAGAGGGTCAGTATGGGGTCAAATTAGATTATCAGATTCCACACAATTTGATGCACCTGCCTGTTTTTCATATAATTTGTCATTATAGAATGGGGAAGGCGATTTCTTGTGTTATCTTCTGTTTTGTTAATTTATCACAGTCAGGTTTCCTCCTTCACAGATCCGTTTTAATTCTTAAGTTTAATAGCATTACCAGGTATTGACACAGATAAACTCAATCATTACCCACACCTATGTTTTATATGAACACAGAATCAACTTGTTATCTGTAAAATAATATGTATAGGTAATGATTAATTTGACATGTAACATATTAATTGAAATCTTGCAGTTTGTGTCTTCAGAGTTCATGGCATTTATAATGAAATAGTCGAATTCAAATTAAATACCATATTCTTTCACATGTTGAATATGTTGGAATAAATTATAAAAGGATTCTGAGATTTGAATTCTAGCTGGCTGAACTTCACTTGTTCTTTAAAGGGCAGTAACTGTCATCACTTGTAATTTATTAAGATTTGCTGTAAGAGAAAAAAATTGAAATTGGTTTCATTGATTAGAATTTGATTAAATTCAGTTCTGCAATTTTTAAAAAGAAGTTTGGAGAATAAAAGTGTTAATTAAATATATGTTTTGGATAGAATTCAATTGTCAAATGAAGAATTTCTAATGAAAATCAAGAACTTCAAGTTCAGAGGTCTACTGAAAAACTCGAAAGATTTGAAATCAGAAAGTCAAAAAATGCATTTTGTATGAATTGTCAAAAACTGAACTAACTTCAATTTAATGCATTGATTTCATTTTTCATTAGCATATACATATAAAGTGTGAATTAAACCATTTAAAAGGCCAAACATGTTTTACTCTGTCTCCACAAAGTTATGGGGTGGGGATACATGAGAATCACCTTGTTTGTCTGTTCAATGCAACTATTTACAGACTATAACTTTCTTATGGATTACATTTGAAGTTCTTACTATATGTACAAATTGCTTATGACATGAATGTATGTCATGACCTTGACCCCATGTCATTGAATCATATTGAGTTCTACATAGTTCTACACAAAATTTAAGGTATGTTCGCTGTTCCGCCTTGACGTCAAAATGTATTTTGTCATCGATAGCAGATTTCTTTAACGCGCCTAATTTTAAGCTCTACTGGTCAGAGACCAGAAGAGCTTATGCGATAGTAATGCGTCCGGCGTCCGTCCGTCTGTCTGTAAACAATTTTTAGCTCTACTGGTCAGAGACCAGAAGAGCTTATGCAATAGTAATGCGTCCGGCGTCTGTCTGTCTGTCTGTCTGTCTGTCTGTAAACAATTTTTCAAAATGCTACTCCTCCTACAGTGTTGGTCCGATTTCAATATAACTTGGCACACAAGTAGACTACACTAAGATACATAATTCTGTGCATCGGTTTTCGATTTCAATGAACGGTGTTGCCATGGTTACTAAAAATAGAAATTTCTGTGAAATTCTTTCAAAATGCTACTCCTTCTACATTTTTGGTCCGATTTCAGTATAACTTGACACACAAGTAGACTATACTAAGATACATAATTCTGTGCATTGGTTTTTGATTTCAATGAACAGTGTTGCCATGGTTACTAAAAAAATAGAAATTTCTGTGAAATTCTTTCAAAATGCTACTACTCCTACAGTTTTGGTCTGAATTCAGTATAACTTGACACACAAGTAGACTACACTAAGATACATAATTCTGTGCATCGGTTTTTGATTTCGATGAAAGGTGTTGCCATGGTTACTAAAAATAGAAATTTCTGTGAAATTCTTTCAAAATGCTACTCCTCCTATAGATTTGGTCCGATTTCAATATAACTTGGCACAGAAGTAGACTACACTAAGATACATAATTCTGTGCATCGGTTTTTGATTTCGATGAAAGGTGTTGCCATGGTTACTAAAAATAGATATTTCTGTGAAATTCTTTCAAAATGCTACTCCTCCTACAGTTTTGGTCCGATTTCAATATAACTTGACACACAAGTAGACTACACTAAGATACATTATTCTGTGCATTGGTTTTTGATTTCGATAAACGGTGTTGCCATGGTTACTAAAAATAGAAATTTCTGTGAAATTCTTTCAAAATGCTACTCCTCCTACAGTTTTGGTCCGATTTCAGTATTACTTGACACACAAGTAGACTATACTAAGATACATAATTCTGTGCATCTGTTTTTATTTTGATGAGTGGCAAGGATCATTTTCTATTTATTGCTGATTTAAGGTATTCGATCCATATTAGCCACAGATTCAATGGAATTGAATCCATAATAGATATGTATGGGGTGAATACTCAGTGTATTTAAAACTAATTTTCATCTTTGGGTGTCAGGATGTAAGAGTGGGAAATGTTCTAATTTATGACCTTTTCCTGTCCTTGACGAGTTATCTCCATTTGATTTTACTAAATAAAAATTAATTTTAAAAAATCTGTTTGGTAAAAAAAATATTTCTAATTGTTTATCTATTTCCAATGATCAAATACATCTTTCCACCAGAGCAATTTTTAATATTTGTAGTATTTACTTTTTTATCTTAAAAACTTACCTCCTTCCATAGACTTCAATGCAATCTTCAATAATTAATTTCTGCTTAGGTAATAAAAATTTTGAAAAATTCTCTTGGTAAATCCCTTTCTACTCTAACATGCTTTAAAATAATATCAGGATATTTTACAAACAACTGATAATTAAGGTTACAAAATTTGGTCCTAATATGGGCCGGATACCTTAAAGTCTCAAGTCCCAACTGCTACTTTTCTCTTCCTTTGTTTTAAGTATAAACCAGTAGAGCTACAGTCTCGACAGAGACTTCTGGTTCAAAATGCTACTCCTCCTACAGATATGGTCCGATTTCAGTATAACTTGGCACACAAGTAGACTACACTAAGATACATAATTCTGTGCATCGGTTTTTGATTTCGATGAACGGTGTTGCCATGGTTACTAAAAATAAAAATTTCTTTGAAATTCTTTCAAAATGCTACTCCTCCTACAGTTTTGATTCTATTTCAATATAACTTAGCACACAAGTAGACTACACTAAGATACATAATTCTGTGCATTGGTTTTTGATTTCGATGAACGTTGTTGCCGAGGTTACTAAAAATAGAAATTTCTGTGAAATTCTTTTAAAATGCTACTCCTCCTGCAATTTTGGTCCGATTTCAATATAACTTGGCACACAAGTAGACTACACTAAGATACATAATTCTGTGCATCGGTTTTTGATTTTGATGAATTGCCGAGGTTACTAAAAATAGAAATTTCTTTGAAATTCTTTCAAAATGCTACTACTCCTACAGTTTTGGTCCGATTTCAATATAACTTGGCACACAAGTAGACTACACTAAGATACATAATTCTGTGCATCGGTTTTTGATTTCGATGAACGATGTTGCCGTGGTTACTAAAGATAGAAATTTCAGTGAAATTCTTTCAAAATGCTACTCCTCCTACAGTTTTGGCCTGATTTCAATATAACTTGGCACACAAGTAGACTACACTAAGATACATAATTCTCTGCATCGGTTTTTGCTTTGATGAGTGGCAAGGAAAGCTCTTCTGGTCAGAGGACCAGAAGAGCTTATGCGATAGTAATGCGTCCGGCGTCCGTCCGTCATGTTCGTCTGTAAACAATTTTTCAAAACGCTACTCCTCCTACAATTTTAGTCTGATTTCAGTATTACTTGGCACACAAGAACTAAAAATACATGAAATTGGTTTTTATACCCCCGCTTCGAAGGAGAGGGGGTTATACTGTTTTACCCTTGTGTGTCTGTCCGTCCGTCCGTGTGTCTGTGTGTCCGTGTAGCTGTGTGTCCGTCCTTAACAAATTTTCGTCGCAATTAGCAATATATCGCAGATGCTTGAAATTTTAACACAATCTTCTCTGAGGCATGCCATACGTTGGGATACATTTTTGTTAAAATCTGATGTCAACTTCCTGTTTGTCTGAGCGTCTGTCTGTTTCATCCATAACAAAATTCGTCACAGTTGTCTCAGCAACTACTCATCACAGATGCATGAAATTTTAACACATCTTCTCTGAGGCATGCCATACGTTGGGATACATTTTTGTTAAAATCCGATGCCAACTTCCTCTTTGTCTGTACGTCTTTCCATTTAATACATAACAAATTTTCGTTGCATACAACCACTCATCGCAGATGCTTGAAATTTTAACACAATCTTTTCTGAGGCATGCCATGTGGTGGAATTCATTTTTGTTCATATCTGATGTCAACATCCTGTTTGTCTGTGTGTCTGTCCATTTCATACATGACAAATTTTCGTTGCAGTTTTCTCAGCAACTACTTATTATAGATGCTTGTTTTCTCAGCAACTACTTACTGCAGATACTTGAAATTTTAACACAATCTTCTCTGAGGCATGCCATACGTTGGGAGACATTTTTGTTCAAACCTGATGTCATCTTCCTGTTTGTCTGTGTGTCAGTCCGTTTCATACATAACAAGTTTTCTCATTAACTATTCATAGCAGATGCTTAATTTTAGTACACTCTTTGTTGAGGCAAGCC